AACTACTAGCAGTAAAAGAACAGACTAGATGAACAGATGGATCCAAATATATTTTGACTTAAATTTCTTGATATTTTGACAAGATAAATAAAGGTAAATATAAACAAGAAGAGAGGGGAGAGGAATAACCAGCCAGTCAGTATATTTCAGTAAGGAATCTCATACTAGAAAGATGAAAAAAACACTATCAAATCCTTTTCTTTCTCTGCCCACCTGCCTGTATTCTCAAAGATATTTTGTTTCTGTTAACTAGGTTTCCTGAAGCTTCCCATAACCACTTACATATTCACCTTATTAAGATATCAATTATGCCTGGAACCCCAATAATGAAATAAGGCCCACTGCCTTAGGACAGTTTAGTCAAAAGAAATAAATCATTAACCTGTGATGTAATTTAAAGATCCTAAAGGTTGATTTTCTTTTATGCTCACTCTCTCTTGAATTTGACCCCTGCTAGAGGTAAGAGTTAAGAGAACTGTTTCTATCTACAAAGTCCACAGAAGGCAGAAATTCTTCTTTCTGAGCCCTTCATATCACCTTCCCTTTGGGCACTCTCCCCAGCCATTCAGTTCCTAAGTATGTAACATTGTGTTACTTACCATGTTTGAAATGAGCTTCAGAAAGCTTCAGTAAGATCTGGCCTGTGGCTGGATTCATATCCTGGAAGTTTTCATAGCAGGTATATTTGAACTACATCACAGCAAGGACGGCAGCCTTGGAGCAGGTTAGTGGTTTGATGTGTGAAATGTGTATGTGGATGGTAAGCATCCTGCTGGGATTTATTCCCTACGTAATTTTCAGCTAAGGCAAAATCAGGCCTGGGGCTCCACTCCATTAACTGTGTTGCAACATTCCTCTCCATTCATATAGTTTCTCAGTTATTTATACATTTTAGTAATATAGTGCAGGCTCAGTGCAATCTCATCTAAATTTCATTTGGTTGTTCTCCTATGCCCACATCCCATCCTAATACTTCCAAGCATGATCTCCACACCTCAAGCAGCACCTGACTTTCAAAGCACTGCTTCATGAAGTACATGAAGCCACACTCCATACGTGTGCTGTACTCCACCTCCTCTCAGTGAAAACATTCTGGAACACTGAGCTCAGACTCCTACTTACTCATTCCACAGAAAATCCAAGTTTTGATGGCTTCACTAAAAACTGCCTCAAGGAAGATCAATAGCAATTGAGACACACTCAAACATATCAGAAAGATGACATTCACTCCAATATTATGTTTTCTACACAGGAATTTTTAGTGATCTTTTCCCCTCACTTTCCTAGCCTCTGTAGGCTTGTCCCATTCTCTTCAGAGTTCTTATTTTGCTAGAAGTAAGTTTGGGCCTAAGATATTCTTCAAGCCACAGCTTCCCTTGAGCACCCGGTGCAGGTATGCAATCAGGGGAATAAAGAACTCTAATACCTATTATCGTCCTTCTGTTCCTGACAATAAATTCAAGACCATGGCATCTCAGCTGATGGCAACAATCATGGCAACTATATTGTTTTTCATCCCTCATCTGATCATCTGCACCAAACTACTATTGCTGAAAACTCTTCAGTTTTATATACTGCACAGAATATACAGAATATACATATATTCTGGTGAGTTTCTCTCTCAGTTAGTCCTATCTTCTGATCTCTGAGATAAAAAATCTGAATCTAGTAATTTTCTCTTAGATTTGTAACTATGGATGCTTATGTTATTAAGCCCCTTCTCTAGAGTCCTAACATTTCCCCCTTTTTTGCATGAGTTTATCACAAAACCCATGAAAGAATTCCCATTTTTCCTCAAGTTAAAACACTAACAACCTGCTGCCTCACTGTAGAATAACATCCTCTCAGTCCAGGTGAACTGGGTTGGCTAAATCCCCACAATGAGACAGTGCATATTCCAGCACTCATTTCACATATTGCCATCATCCAGCTTTTGTTATCCCTTAAGCAGAGGAAAATACATAAAAACAGAGGCCAAAAGGATGTCATCACAAAAAGGAGGCCAAGAGTTAGGCAGGAGGACATCACTAGGTCCACTTGTCATTTAAAACCACTGCAAACACCATTCCTTCAACAGAAAACCAGAACAAGACCCTTATTTCTCACTCACTACTCACTATCTCACTTCCAAGATGATTTTTCTCAGCAATGTTTTGAAGAAAATTGGCTTGTTTCTATTTTTTCTTCAAGCTTTCAGTACTATTGTATATGTGGACTGGGCCTCTCCTGATGGGAAATAATCTTACCTTTGATTTTGAGAGAAATTCACACATTCTGAGATCCAACCAAGAACAAAACTGTCATTTACAAAACTTGCAGTGGACAGAATCCATAGACAACCAAAATGACATACTGATTTTAGTGGTAAAATTTAGTGTCCCTAGCCTACTTGATAGCGCAAATTAAACAACACTTGGGTTCAATTAAAATAATTCAGAAAGAATTATTATTAATTTCCTACAGTTCAGAATCTAGGCTGGTCATTCAGGCTGCACCATTTGGTGTAAAGAGATGTGAGGCGCATCTCTTGCCAGCAACTACAAATGAAACTCATTTCAAATGCAAGTCTGTCATCTTGGGAAGTAGACTGAAGAAGGGGGCAGTGCTGAGGTACAAACCCATGGTTCTTATCAATACTGTGTGTCAGCAGAAACAATAAAACCTTAGTTATTGAAAGTCCTGCACACAAACCGGCCTGCCCACCAGAAGGAAAATGTATTAACTTGACATACTTCACAAGATGTGTAGACAACATTTAGTACCTGAGATGCAAAGGTGGCAGCAGAGGTACAGGATGAAACCCAGGGTATCACAGAATGGGTCAAGTTGGAAGGGACCACAGCAGATTACAGGTCTCCCTGCTCAAGCAGGTCTATCCTAGGGAACATTTTACAGGATTGCGACCAGTTTTCGAATATCCCCAGTGAGGGACACTCCACCACCTCTCTAGTCAGTCTCTTCCAGTGTTTGGTCAACTGCACAGTAACGAAATTTATGCTCATGTTCAGGTGGAACTTCCTGTGCATCAGTCTCTGCCTGATTCCTCTCGTCCTGTTGCTCAGCACCATGGAGCAGAGCCTGGCTCCATCCTTTTGGCAGCTTCCCTTCAAAACTTACTGAGGAGGTCCCCTCTTAGGTGTCTCTTCTCTAGGCTAAACAGGCCCAGATATGGAAAGATCCAAGAGAGAACCTATTGAGTCCAGATCAGGCATAAAAAAATATATTTTGGAGATAAGTCTTTTATACCAACAATCCAAAACACTACTGAAACTGTGCATGATATTTTTATCAGAAAATAACATAATACCAACAAACATTCCTAACGCTTCTGGAACACTAAGTAAACAGCAAGACTTCTAGACACGTGATGAGAAATAACTATCTGCATCTGTTTCCTTGCTAAAAGGAGAGCTACAACCCTGACTGCTGCTAGAGCCAAGACTCAGCTAGAAGTGCAGTACAGTAGTGAAGATGATACTGTTTGGGATCCATGTTTCCTCTGACATCTCAAGGATATACCTTACACATCCTTACCTTGGGACTAATGAATACATCTTGCTGAACAAAGCAAGCAGCCAAGGCAACAAGCACCCTGCTCTGTATTAATGGGAACACAACCAGCAGATTATGGGGAGTGACAATCTCCCTTTACTTGACACTCTCTACAGTACTGCACCTACTTTGGAGGCCAAAACAAGAAAAAATATGGACAAATTGCAGTGCATTCAGACAGTCATGGGGCAAGAGTACTTGCCTTGTGAAAAGCAGCTCAGGAAGCAGCCTTTTCAAGCTGAGAAGAGATGGCTTTCGATTGACCTAAAAGCAGTCTTCCCATACCTGTAGTTATGCAGGAAACACAGCTAGGGTCTTCACAGCAGTGCATGTCAGAGTTGAAGAGCAGTAGGTATAGACCAAAATAAGAGAGGCACCAGTTTGATTCAAGGAAAAGGGTTCTCATGATACAGACAAAAATTGAAGCAAGCTGACCAGAGGTGTTGTGTAGCTCTATCCCTATGGGTTTTCAAGACACATTGGATAAAACACTGAGCAACCTGGTCTGGCCACATAAATAACCTTGCACTGAGGAAGGAGGTTGGACAAGTGACTCTCCATGTCCCTTCCAACCTGAATTTTGCTCTGATAAAAGTTGTGGGCTGCATCAGGCTACACAAAACGAGGGGAGAGAAAGAAGATAAAGAGACTTGCAGTTACTCTGGTATTATTTGATAGCACATATTTTTCAAATTGCATTGTTGTTCTAATACAGCTACTCTCGCACAACTGAAGCCTGATATAGGCAGGGTAATCTCCCTTTCATTTAGTAGCAACCCACAGCACTAAAAAAAGAAATACTTGAGGGAAAGGATTAGAAAAAGAAATTCTACGTGACCAAGAACTTCAGAATGTCAGAATGTCAGCAATACAATAGTAACTCTGGCTGTTAGTAAAGGTCATGAGCAATTACAGTCAAAACACTGCAGAGAGAGGTAGTTATGTAGGTAATTCCAAAGGAAAAGAGGTGTCTTGTAAGACAGAGAAACCAGGAGTGACAGTGATATCGAATACGTTTTCTCAAGATGTTAAGAGCAAATAGTGGACACACTTAAAGAAATCACAATAGCCAAGAATCTTAATGTAAAGGCCATTCTTCAACTACACCCTAATGGTAAATCAATAGGACATGATATTATCCTGGTACAGTCTGTCCTTCTTCAACATTAATTAGAAGTGGGGAAAAGAGAGCTGTATCTGACATGGTTCATAAAGCGTAATTAAACCTTTGCAGTGAAAAAGAGCAGAAAATTCTGGATAGCTACGGATTCTGGGTTAAGAACAGTGATTTACTACTGCCTGAATAGTTCAATTTCTAAAGGAAAAAGGTATTAAACATCCTCTTTGGAAAGACAGAATGAAAAGGGTATTACATTTGCTAACTCAATGACATGACTGGGTCCATCCATTTCCCCTGTCTCTTACTCAATTATCTATGTAATACTTACCCTTTCTGTCAGAATACTGCAAAAAATCTATGAAAGATGAGAAAACAAAAGGTAGCATCAGTTCATATAGAAAATGTGTTCTGTTACAGCACATGCTCGCTGCTTAATCAGTTCACGTCAGTTAAAATGTCATTCAAGTTTCACATTCAATTCTACTTAAATCAAAAGAGTTATGAAAATGATTTTACCAGGTTCAAGTTCAAAGAACTTTTAGAGTGTAAGAAACATACAAGAAGACTTGAATAGGAATAGAAAAGTGCATTGCTCCAAAAATGAAATTACAAAAACTACAGCGAAATGTAGTGTCTTTTTCTTCTACCAACAGTAACTATTAATAGCATTCATGATTACACAGAAAAATAATTTGGCTAATCCATTAGAGAGTAAAAGTGTAGCAGAAGGCAAATGCCACAATATTCCCCTGGAATTTATTCTCTTATTTCACTCCATGACACCACCCATGGTGCCTGTACCTACACTTGCACATTCACAACGTACATCAAGCAGTCACATAACCTAATTTCCCTGAAGTTCCCCAAGAACAAGCACAACCATATGAACAAGAGAAGCAGAACTGGCAAAATCCACGGTTACATGAGCAGTCAGATGAAAGTAATTTTCAAGAGGAAGCTTCCTTTAAAATAGACAGTTGGGTTACTATTGGGAGTTATGAGAATGGACAGACAGACTTGAGGAATGTTGGTTGGATGGGACCTTTGAAGGTCACCTAGCCCAGCCTTTCATTCAGAGCAGGGCTAAAGCCAATGCCAGATGACACTTTCCAAGGGAAGAGGCTGTGCTCAGCAGAACAGTGGGTGGCAGAGACAGGAGGACGTCTGGTGCAAACCAGGCCTTGCTTGTGCCCTCTACTCTCTGGAGGCATCTAGATTTCCATGTCAAACATCAGCCAAGGAAAGCATGAACTGACATGGTGAGCCTTTCTAAAGGATAAAAAGGAGACACTGCAGTAAATAAAGCACTCCAAGCAATATTTCTATGCTGAATGATAGGATAAAATCAGCAACAGAAAACTCTAATCACATGTATAAAGGCACCAAAAAGAAAAGCTATGAGGAGTAGGGGACGTGACACGTACCAACAACATGACACACTTCCTTCTGTGATGGAGCGAAGCTGTGTTCAGTATTCCAGTGGTCTCAAAACAAACTCATGAACAAGCTCAAAGAAACTTGCTTGCAAAGCTGATGGCAGAAAACCATGCTAATTTGGAAAGTGAGGAGCAAACAGGCTGCAAGAACGCAAGGAAAATGAAGTGTGATGCACATATTAAGTAGTTAATGTTTGTCAGCAGTCCGGTGCAAATTTAAAAACATTAGCAATGCATGGAAAGACCATTTTTTGTTTTGTTTAACATGTAACCTCTTTGAAAATGCAAGTTTTTAGACAGACAGTAAAAGAGACATCTGTTCGGTTTAGCATTTATTTAACCATGGCAGGAGAAAGCTGTTCTACACTTAGGTAACAAGACATGTTATTGTTCATATGACTTTGACAGCTATGATGGAGCAAGGGCAGAACAGGAGTGCCACTTAAATAGACAGTAGAGACTGTCTAAGTTTCTAAGACTTCCTTTAAGAGAAGGGGAGAAGAATGATGAAAATTTGCCTATGTTTTGTTCAGAGATGTGAAATTTAAAGCCTCTTTTAATGGCCTTTGTCACACAATGAACAACTTTAACTGTTAAGAAATTGCTTTTCCAGGATGACTGCCCGCTTAAGCTGGAGATTATATAAAACAAGTCCACTCCTCACAGAGTTCTACATGAAACAATTTGGTCATGGAAATATTTACAGTTGTGCCACTGTATGTTCAGCTCTACAGAAGTTGCTACCTTGATATTTTCAAAGCATGGCAAAAATTACAGAAGCAGCAAATTAAAAAATACCTGAAGCAAAAAATGAGAAAGTTAATTGTCTGGAATTAACACAGATATAACTAAATGAACCTTAACCCAAAACCAAAAGACTTAAGTAACTCCATGATGAAAGAGGATACAGAACAGGTGGGGGATGAAAGTATAGCAAAATGAAGTCAAGGTGGATTAAAAAAAAAACAGAAAGACACCCCCAAACATTCTGGTCCAAGCAATGCAGGCAAAAAGATAATGCTCTGAAATGTTATCTTGTAAAGATATACAGTCATGGAATGGTTTGGGTTATAAGGGGCCTTAAATCACCTATTTTCAAGTCCTGCCATGAGCAGGGGCACCTTCTGCTATATTCTGCATCTATGATACCCGAACTCTTTCCTTTCTCTTTTCCCTCTAGTTTAGGTATTGGCTCTTCAAGTGCACATCACTATTACCTTGTAATGGGTATTACAAGGGCAAAGGTATGTTACTAAAAGGAGTATCTGGATCATAATGAACACTTCTGTTTGGAGGATGCCCCTGAACACCTGGAGAACACAAGACGACCATGCCCTTGGCCGGTCCAGCGCTAGGGACAGCTCTCCCTGTGCTCAGCTGTATCACCGACGGGCCGCCCCTCGCATACTGAGGCGCTGCCGTGCCCTTGCCCCACGGACACCTGAGTTCCAGCCGGGAGCCCTGAGCCTATCGCCGGCCCGCCCTGCAGCCGGCAGGACCGGGCCGGGCCGGGCCGGCTCCCACGTGGCTTTCGGAGCGCGGCCCGGGCCGCAGGGTTCTCCCGCAGGACTGCAGGGTGCTCTCCCCGCAGGGCCGCACCGCCGGCAGAGCCCCTGGCAGCCGCCGGCCCTCCCGCAGCCCGTGCCGGCACCTCCGCCTCCCCTCAGCGCTTCCCCGCCGCATCACGTGTGGCGAAGGCGGACCGGCCCCGGCCCAGCCGCCCCGCCTCGCTCTGCCCGGCGCTCTGCGGGGCACTCACTCGCCAGAGCTGCGGCTTCCTCCGCGCCTCCGCTCCCGCCTGCGGCCTCTGCCTTCTGCCCGTCTTGGGGCGCCTCTCCCGGGAATAGGCGGCGGGGCGGAGCGGGCCGTGGGGCGGCGCCTGCCCGCGTTCCCTCCCCTGCGGACGGGGCAGCGCGGGGAGCCCGGAGCGGGGCCAGGGGTGAGCCCGGGTTGTTGGTCGGAGCCGGCGGTGCTGCCAGAAGGACGGAGCGTGCTTGGCGGGAGCGCGGACAGGGCGGCCAGGCGGGCGCGGGGCCGGCAGAGCCGGACACCCCGCGGCCGCTGCCAAAGCGGGAGTAGCGCCCGGCGCTCCCGGGAAGGGCCGGTCCCGGAGCCCGCGCGGGGCCTCGCCTCCCGGAGGCCGTAATAAACGTGCGTCAAGCAGTTCGGCAACGCTTGGCAGCCAATCTGGCCCGTAAGAGAACCTTTAAAAGAAACCCTTACTGTTTTATAAACGCTGTTGACTACCCTGTAGGAAGGGATTTTGGCTGCAGGCACAGATTGGTCTTGAGCCGGCTGAAGCAGGAGTTTTAAACTCTGAGGGTGCTAAGTGCCTTTTTGTTTACCACCTTTGCAGGCAGCTTCTAGCTACCAGCCAGACTCTCTCAAGCTGGCCCCTTAGGGATCAATCTGCTCTTTAGCAAAGCATGTGAAGGTTGCACACAGCAAATCACTTTAAAGTGAGTGCATTAATAGGAGGAATAAGAGTGAGTTACCTTTCTACTGGTCCTGTAGAAAAGCTCCTGGCCGATGGCAAATTGAACATGAGTCTGCAGTACCCTGGCATCCTCCAGGGCCAAGCATCTCCTGCGGGACATCAGGCACAGCAGCATCACTGGGATTGTCCCGCTTTGCTCTGCACTGGGGTGGCCTCACCTTGAATACTGTATGCAGAGTTAGGTGCCACAATATAAGGAAGATGGTTAACTATTAGTGTCCAGAGGACGACTTTGAAGATGGTGAGGAGTCTGTTCAGCCTGGAGGAGAATGAGGAGAGACCTCATTGCAGTCCAGAATTTCCTCACGGGGAAGCAGAGGGGCAGACACTGATTTTTTTTTTCTGGTGACCGGTGATAGAACCCTGAATGGCCTGAAGCTGTGAAGTTGTGTCAGGGAAGGTTTATATCAGAAAAAAGGTTTCTCAACTAAAGGATGGTTGAGCCCTAGAACAGGCTCCCCAGGGAAGTGGTCACAGCATCAGCCTGATAAAGTTCAAGAAGTGTTTTGGGCAACACTCTTGGGCACTCTTGGTGTGACTCTTGGGGACAGCCCTGTGCATGCAGGGCCAGGAGCTGGATTTGGATAATCCCTATGGGTCCCTTCCAACTCAGGATATGCTGTGATTCTCTCTTGATCATACAAGTACCGTCCTGTAGCCTGGTTATTGGGACAGCAGGTGACATTTTGCTATCAGTCCCTCCTCCTTGACTAGTTACTAAGTGAAAGCCAGGTTGTATCTCTTACAGACTATTCACTGTCTCACCCAATTAGCACTCAATAATTCTATTCCACCTATAACACTGGGTAGGATTGTTGCAAAACAACATATATAAATATGTATATATATGTAAACATTTTCTTAAGAAAGGATATTCTTTGATTGTTCTTTGTATGCTTTTAGGCCTAATCAACAAGAAGGGATATTCAATCTGTGAGCAGATAACAGCTAACAAGCAAGCTCTAAGTGATGTCCAAGTGTTAGAAAAACAAATGACTTGCTAGAATTGCCTTGTTAAGGTTTAGGGCTTGAAATGCTTCAATGATCTCAGACCTAGAGGAAGGTTAACAAAGGTTGGAAAGAAGGCTGTACCACTGATAATGGACACAAAGAATGCAGAATTTACAGGCCATGAAGACATCTAGCAGAACTCCCAAGATAAAGTAGAAACTAATAAACCCAACCCAGCAATTGTGCTGAAATCAGCTCTGGCTGGGTAAATGACAAGTCCAACAGGGGGAGATTGTGACCACTGGCTCATGGACCACCAACCCAAGAAACCCACTGACCCCAAAGAAGAGAAGACTGAGTATGGGACTCATTAGCTTGTAACTTGTAGCCAATGAACACTACCAATTCCTTTGTTTGCTAAATTCTATAAACAGTAACAAGTTCTGATAATTAGTGTTTGTAACTTGTGCAATACCACTGAGCAGCCCAGGATTGTGCAACTCTGAAATAAATAATGTCTTTCTCAATTGTGTCATTATTGGCTTGTTGCACACTGCATTAAAAATCTGATTTTGGCAGAGAAGGTTGCTCAGCATTTGAGGCAGTAACTCCTGCTTTCTCTATGTTACCGTCTTAGAGACTGAATTAATTAGTTAAGTATTCCATTGCTTTCTTTAGGTGCTGCTTTTTGTTTGTTTAGGCACACACATTCAAGATCAATACTCTCATGCTGAATCAAGATTTTGAACTCTTACTCTTAGAGGAAGAATGTCTTCCTGTATGTCCCAATCTAGTCTGTCAGGCCCATTAGGTTTTCTTCCTAGCTTGTAGAGAACCCTGAATCAAAAACTTACTGCAAAAATAAACACCACTGTCACAATTAAAATCTATGCAAAAAAAGATAACAAAATGCAGATTTATTTCATGGCTTCATTACAAATGTATTTACTTCCTGCTCAGCTGAAAATAAATTGAACATACCATTGGCAATCTAAATTATGAACGCTACATAAAAAAAGTTCAGCTCAGAAATCACAAGCTACCAGTTTCAGTACCTGTAGGGATTTTTCCTAACAAAAATACTTATTTTAAAAAGCCCTGAACCACTTGACATGTATCATCACTGACACACACTGAACACCCATGCCACAACACAGCAGTGCAACTTTCTAACACAAAGTAATCAGTCCTCCAATGCTCCACAGTCCATGCAGCCATGTACATCCTCTTCCTTGGAGAGATATGTCCTTTTCTTTGAATCACAAAGTTGGTTCAAGTTGCTGTATTTATAACATTACACCTATATACAACCACTTCACATTATTCTGGAGCCCAGCACAGTCTGAAATGCCCTTTACTAGTAGCATCTGCTGCTTATGGTGTTCCATGACACAAATTTGGCTTCCTCAGCTTTTATGTCACAGAAATCCAGCCATGTGATCTCACTTTTGCTCCTAGCAAAATTTAGTCTTTTTGAGTTAAACGTGCCCCCATTAACACACATTTGGTAGAGACACACCAAGAGCTGTGGAAGGGAGCACTATTCAGTGAAAGGGCCAAGTTGAGAAGCACATGGGAATCTACATGTAATGACAGGTATGTGAATGTACCAATACTTATGTGAAATACGGGACACAGGCAGGAACCAGCAAATAAATATCAAAAGATATCAAAACAAAAAGCCTCACCATACTGAAACACACTGTGCTATCACATTTAACATTCTAACAGCTACACCTTGAAATAGCAACTGAAACTTAAGGAAAAAAATATAAATCTCAACTTTTACAGTTGCTTTAGAATTGCTTTTAAAAATAGGAGTGAAGGACACCAAAATTCAATAAGTTGTTACTGAACAAGCTAGCAATGAATCGAACTAGACATGAATGTTCTGTTTTCATACAGAGATTTGATGTTCAGTGCTTTATCAGTCATGAAAATTTATCAAAGTTAATTTGTTTTCTCCCATTCCCTCATCCAGCTACTCTCTGACTCTCAAGGCAAGTACCTGCCAGTTTGCTTCAATGCCAGTCTTTTAACATTCTTGGTGCCAATAATGTATGAGAATGCTAGACAGACCAAATTTCTTCATGTATGGGACCAGGTTACTTCAACTGAAAGCAGCAGTGAGATTTTTCTTCATGTATATGAGCTGACCACCTTAGTTACCCTTTGAAGTTAGTGAAGATGAATGTCTCCTTCAAGTACGATTTCTCACATCCTAAAGATGTTTTTTTCCCTCAGTGAGTATATAGAGGAACTAGGATGAATAGCTCAGATACAGGTATCTGAAATATGAAGGAAAAGGTTCCCAGTGAAGAAGCCCAATATTTTTAACAAACCATTCAAAAGTATTATAGATTTTTATTTCTTAGTGCCCATAAACACACACACAATCCACATCTCTGAAGTTTAAATACTATAAAATTAAATAATAGGAAACTTAATGTACATGGCATTGGTCTAGACACAACAGAGACATACAGTTAAGGAACTCCACTGGAAGTTTTTGGTGAAAAGAGACTCAACATCCATAGCAGTCATTGTGACTATTTTCCTGACTCCATTCTGTGCATTAAATCATTCTGCATTTCTCAGAACTGTATTTGAACAAGTAATCCTTCTCAAAAAAAAAAAAAGGCATATTAATTTCCCTAGAGAATTAAACAGGCCAACTGATAAGGAAACTTTAATCTTCTGGAATTAGCAATGGGAAAAAAAAATCCAGCATGCTGGAAAGATAGACAATATTTGTACTACAGTTATGTACAAGCCCACTTTTTCTACACCTTTTTCTCTTTGAAGTTGAGTGTTCTGCACTGTTGCAGGAGTCAGATATGAGGTATGGTATGAAAAAACCAAAAAAAGGTTAACGTTATAACCATTTTAATAAAAGCCACTGCACTGTTTGCACTTTTAAAATATTTCTGAAAATAAAGTAAAAAAATATTTAGTATTCTTAAAAGTCTTAAGGAAGTTTTTATTACAAAAG